GAGAGAGAGAGAGAGAGAGAGAGAGAGAGAGAGAGAGAGAGACATAACGGCTCCCCTTAACACGGCTCAAACGGCCCATGCAGGCCATCCGAAGGGTCCTCGCAGACATGTAGCCCTGAACCCCCCACCAAAATCGCGGCAGGTAGTGAATATGAAATAGAGCACGAGCTGGCCGAATATGTAGTCGAGTTTCGAATTCAGGTCTGTGTTTCAGCAGTTATGGGTTGCTCACGTAGCTAGGGCCTGTTGGGGCCTCGCTGCACTACTCTTGAAATGCACAAAAGACAAAAATCATGGCCGTGTATCTTTCCATGTTCTAGTGGAAGATTCACTCTCGTTTTGCACATTTCAAGAGTAGTGCAGCGAGGCCCTTGGTCTCTGCACGTGACTCTTAGGGCTTGACTGCACTACTCACGAAATGTGCAAAATTAGAATGAATCTTCTGCAGAACGTGGAATAATACGCCACCTTATGTTTTGTCTTTTGTGCATTTGGTGAGTAAAGGCCCTTAGGGCCACTGCACGTATTCCTAAGAAAAGAAAAACGAGAAAAGAAAAGAAAAGCGCAAAAAGACAGAGAAATGGTGACCCATAACCGACATGCACAGACCTGAATTCGAATCCAGATACTATATATTCTCTGGCCACCCGCAGGTAGTACAAGGTTGAAGTGTATCTCTGCATGACGTTGGGTCCTAGCTAATATGCTCGAGGGAGCCTTTCAAAAAGAGGCTGAACTTCTCGGAAAAAAAAAAAAAGCACAACGAGGACATTTTTGTTTTTTTATTTTTTTAAACCACCAGTACTTGGGGCCGGCCTTAGCGTTAACGCTACGAAAATTGCGGCGGCACGCAGTGCCCAAGTACTGGTTGTTTAATGCGCCGCATCACTTGTGTGTGCGTGCATGTGCGCACGGCACCCTGCGCATGAGCTGCAAGTATGAAAACACATCTCTCTCTCTCTCTCTCTCTCTCTCTCTCTCTCTCTCTCACACACACACACACACACACACACAAAGGGGGTCCGAAAGGGGGTCTGAAATCCCCCGGCAGGTGAGTGCGCTGGGAGGGCCGGGCATCCAACCGGGTGCCCTGCCTGGCCAGGCCGCCCGGGACCTCCCCCGGGCCCCTGCCTGTCACCCGGGCGGCCCGGATCCCCACTCAGGAGAAACTTAAAAAAAAAATAGTAAAATACATTACTGCATAGTCAGTGTTATGTAGAGAACCTTGAGAAGCAGGGGCACACAATGGATGGCCTTTCCCATGCAGTTCTGTAATGTCTTTCATTCTTCAAACTCGTTGAAAAAAGCTGAAGCGAGTTGAAAGGGTGCCGTAAAGCTCCTTGAACAAGGATATTCTTGCAAATATCACAAACTAGACGATTTTCCAGCAGTTTTTTACAGCCTGTTGTTAAACCGCCAGTTCACGGCCCCCGGCTTGTAGAAAATTACAAGTTGCCAACTCTGAAATACTTGCGGCTCGGGGCTACCGGACCACAATGGCTGGGGGCGCCAGCCGAAAAAGAAAAGAAGTGTGCTGCTGGAGGTTCGGAAAAGCTTGGCTCGCAGTGCGGCTCCTCCATGCCCGGGGGTACCGGAGGTTGAAAGCGGATTAAAATACCAGTCATCATGATGCCAGGACATTTTGGAAGCACACTCCGGTCCGGGCATGTAGCAGTGTTGGGTCCTGCACCCACAGGGGCATTCTAGCATCCAGAGGTAGATCCAGCTGCATTCTAGCATCCAGAGGCAGATCCAGCTGCTGGCCGAGCTCCCGAAACCTACTGGCGTAATGTACCACCTGGCCTCAAGGCTGAGGTCATACATCAGTAGTTTTAGTTGCCGAACTGAGTACGTCATTCTTGTGCTGGAGTCGTTGACTGTCGAGCTGGCTAAGGGACACAGCACCAAGGTCCTGAGACCAGTACTGCACCTGCTCTGGCATGTCTCAAGCCTTGGCTATGGTGACAGGCACTTAAAGAGCACAGCAGGTAACAGCTAAGAGGAGTGGTGCTTAGTGTACTAGAAAGCGCACCAAGTTGAGCAAACGTGACAATTGAGGAGGAAACCAGTCAGCAGGAGGGATGAAGAAGACAATGGTTGCGACAGTTTGTGAGTGGCGACTTGGGCACATGTTAGACATCCTGCAGTTGTTTGATTAACAGTTCAATTAAAACAAAAAGGTTGTCGCCACTGTTGACGATTGAAGGTCGAGCAAAAAAAAAAAAAAAACACTGTTCAATTAAGACAAAAAGGTCGTCCTCAAGCACATAGAGCTGCAACTACGTTGCAATGACCTTTAGCGGAGTTGAAGGTTGAAAACAATGAAAAAGCTTCAAGTTAGTGGTAAGGGGGCAATAAGACCTAGCGTATGTCTCTGTGCACTTCATCTTCTTCCGGCTTTCTGTTGCATGGCTTTGAGCTAAACTTCTGTGCTTCGCCGTTGTTGTTGTTGCAATTCTCGTACTGCTGTCTGCGCGTGGTTGTCAACTGAGAATTCACTGCAATCAGTGACTCTGTTTTTCCTTCCCCTCTCTCCCTTCTGCAATGATTCCAAGTCAATCACCATCAACCTCACACACACATGCAATGAGCATCCAGATGAGTGTTCACACTTGGAGCCGATATCCGAGATACAAGAATCTCCCGAGAGATTGATACGCAAAAAGTCTTTATTATACAAAGAAAGACTCCGTGTCTCCTGTGGTCTCTGCCGCTCACACAGGCTCAGACTCGAACCAGGTATATAGCCATCTCTCTCTCTCTCTCTCTCTCTCTCTCTCTCTCTCTCTCTCTCTCTCTCTCTCTCTCTCTCTCTCTCTCTCGGGTCTTGTATCACTCAACCTCAGTCTCTCTCTCTCTCCCTTGGATCGTGCCCTGAATACACCCGCTCAGATCAGACTCCAACCTTGGCGGCTATGGCTCCCCCGCTTCCCTATCACTACCCTAGGTATGGCTGTCCTTGACACTCCCTTCTTCTTCGAGCATTGTCTTGCCCAAGTGCCTTGATCACACAAGCAGCAGCAACGCTTCCGCAACTTCAGGAATGAACTGTGTCCGCTGCTACACTGTAGCAGCTAAATATAGGATTTGGACTTGGCTTAACCTGCCTCAGACCGTTACCGGTCAGCCGCTGCCTCTGTTGCAATCATTTTGTCAGCCAGGAAGCTTCCCGGACTTTCCTGGCACTTGCTGCAATTTTTGTGGACTCGGCGACTTGGACTCTCCGGACTTTTCTGTGGGGTACTGGACTGTACAACGACTCAGCCTTCTAGACTTTTTCTATCGGGTACCAGACCCTGTACAACGACCTGACTTTTCTGGATTTGGGCCTTCACTTTCAGGGGTCTGCACCGTGAAATCCTTTCACTTCCATTTACACACACACAAAAATGTGGTCGCCCAAAGATGCACACAGTATAATATGAGAGCGACAACCTTACCTGATTGGTACCCTCATCGGTACCCTGATTGGTTTCCCATCTTCACCACGAGGGTACTTCCGTGGACGGCCACGACCTCGTGGAGCTTGCACATTTGGCAAAAGCCAAGGTGGAGGAATCGCTGCAGCCGACATACTTTTCGGCCTCCTTCCTCTCTTTCTCTGCAATTACACAATAACAGCGATTCAGATATGGAATGCACACATACACACACACACACCCTTCCCCTTGCACAGAAGATACAGTTTCTACAACCTTTCTTTTCTTTCTTTTTTCCTTAATGGTCCGATGGACCACAGATCTGATACTGAACTGATCAGAACAGATACTACGCTTGATCTTAGCCAAAAGCCTGAGAAAGTTACAGCTTCTAGAACCTGTTTCAGAGAAAAATTAGGTTGTGGAACCTGGATGGTCAAACCCGCAATCAAATGCTGCTGCTATGCTTCATACTCAGGGATAGAAAAAACAAACAGCAGGAAGAGAACTTGTGCAGCACAAAGTCCTGTAAACTCTATCGTCACCAGCTCTGCTCACACCTTCTCACAAAGGCTTTACCATGATTTCACTCAATCATCATTGACTTCAAGGGCAGATGATATGCAGAGTGACTATCAGCTAGGTCAAGTACAAGAAGATCAGCACAGGCTGCAAGAAGTTTGTGAAATGCACATTCAAACTGATCGTCATGTATATCCATGTTGGGATGACCGAAATTCAAATTCAAACTTTGACAAGAGGCAGGCAATTCTCACAACTTTGGCAGCTGAAAAGCCCCTCTGACAGAGAGGACAAAGAGAAAAGAAGTATTAGGCAAAGGAAAGTAATTGGATGGCCAAGATATCTTTTTTTAATTATCTTTTTTTTTTTTCCACCTTCCTTCTTTAATTAGTCTGCTTGCTTTTTCACATTTCCAGACCCTCATCCCTTTTTTCTCTCTTCTCCCTCCTCACATTTTTCTTTCTTCTCATTCTAGGCCATGAACTTCAATCTCTCCACTTGCTTCTCCTCCCTATTCATCCTGATGCTCCTAAACCGTCCACTATGCTCCTCAATGTCACTGGTCATCCTTCATCCCCCTTGCCCTCAACTTTTCGTTCTTAGCTGTGAACTTCTCCACTCTCCCAACTTTTCTTTCTTCTGTTTGTCCACCTCCTCCTACTTCTTTTTTCTGGTCTTGACCTATTTCTCCTCCTTCCCCCCTCTTTCTTGTCCACTATAATGACCATCCTCGCACTCCACGTCCTCCATCCCCTCCATCTTCTTTCCCTTCCCTTTTCTTTCTTTCTCCACGACTCTGTTCCCTCAATGTCACTCCCTCATCTTCTACTCGTTGCATCTTCCTCATCCTCGCCCTACTAGCCACCATTTGAGAGCCAAGCAGTGTCGCATACCCCGACCGGTCAGGGGTCATCGGCACCCCGCAAAAAAAAGGGTCCAGAGCCCCAACTAACCTCACCAACAACCGCTCACCAATACCCCCATACACCCCCTCAAAACCCCCAAACCACCCCCCAACACCCTTATACACCGCCCCAATACCCCCTATACCAACCC